TTTGGGTTACCAAGAAAACCAGAAAGAGAGTTCTGTTGAGGGAAGGATATGAAGGTGGATAGATATGAACAGTATTCACAAATCAGCCAAATAAATAGATCTTTGTTCTGTTAAATTGTGTGTTATATTCTACAGCTGCGATGCTGAATTGTTTTAAAAATGTGACGCCTTTTGAACTGAGATTAAGGGACAGGCTGGAAAATACATTGACCTATAGTTTGTGCCCAGTCGGAGTCCTAAATACCCTTAGTGTTTCCAACAGGCAGTTTGTTTTCTTTCGTTGTTCTTTGCCAAGAATTAGTACTCAAATGAGTCATGACTGAATACTTGCACAACAGCCTTTCGACTGGAACAAATCACACTTCTAAGTTTTCAAGATTAGTTACAATAATTATGGTGAAAACACGTAGCTGGTTTTGTAGTCAAAAACCCTCTCATCGTAACTCTCTTTCTACTCTTCGCACGGGCAGTGCCATAACTGCGACAACCCGCACCAAGGATACTCAGCTCCCCATAGTAATGACTCTTGTGTTCTGTTTTGGTTAAAATAAGTTCAAAATTTTCCTCAGTGAAGATAAAAGCCAGGAAGTCCAGAACAGTGATAAGACTCATTCCGAGGAAGAAACCGAATGTTCCTCCAAGTTTCCTGTATGAAAAAAAGGCAACAAATTAGTGCTAGAATACGCTGTTTGCTTAGTGAAGATAGCCGGAATCGTTGAAATTAAGGAACAACAGCACTTGATTGCTACAGATGTTTCATTTCAGCGTGAAAACATTGTGGACAAAACACGTATTCAAAACAATCAGATAGTACTAATGAGGAAGATCTGGACATCTGATTAATACAAAGAAAAAACGCTTCTGTCATTTTAAATTTCATATCCTGGCATGTTAGATTCCTTTACGTTAAAATTAGATTGACAATTGATATTTCCAAGACTGCGATTACTCGATTCCAGTTATATTTTAGTCCAGAGCAGTTGTACCATAGATCTCAATTTGACATCTTTATTGATTGTGATCCTTCCTTTAATTTTCTTTAAAACCGTTTAAATATTGATCTACATCACCCGAGGTTTTCTTTCCAAACTTGCTCCCAAGATTTCCGAGGGCAGTTAGGAGATATTAAATATAGAAATAGCATCAACTCGGAAAAAAATCTGAGTTTCAGAATTCCTTGTTCGCCATGCAGTCCCTAATAGCTCAGTGGTTAGAGCATTCGGCTAGATCACGGAGGATCGTGGGTTCAAATCCCATCTGGAACTCGGATTTTTTTTCCCGAGTTG